TGAAGAACAGACCTATAATCCCAATAATGAGAACAAGCAGTGCTTTCTCAGTCTTCTGAGGATTGATAAACCTCTTGATGGCCTCAACGAAGATGCTAAACATCAGAGCGGTGGCAAAAACAGAGTTGCCAAAAGCTCCCAGCACGTCTGCCCGGCTGAAGCCGAAAGTGCTAGCCTTGTGCCAGCTGATGCGGCTGAACCTAACACCAAACAAACCGATGATCATGGAGATCAAGTGAGAGAGAACAGCAAATGCATCTGATGCTAAGGAAAGAGAATTGCCAACGTAGGCTACGGAGATCTCAACAGCAAAAATCGCAAGGCTCAGCACACACATGAGGATGAGCCTGCTGCTCCGGCCCGAGTAGCGGCCCATTTCTGCTGCTCTCTTCCCCTTACCCTGAGGTTCGGCAAGACAGAGCTGTGTGAGATGCAGCTCACTGCCTGCGATTCTGCCCTTTACCTGTCACTGCTGCTCACATGTGGGAGTCACTTTTATAGGAAGCAGTAAAGCAATAAATCAGTTTAAAGGGCAGTTTGGTGAGATTTGTCATGTAAAGGTAGCCTGAGGGCTCCAGCCCTGCAGGTGTTCCACCCTTGGGAGCCTTTTTTTTCCTACAAAACCAAAAGGAAACCAAGGGATACTACTGGAAGCACCAGTACTTGCTACTCTACTCAATGACAGTGTTCTAAAAAACTGAATAAGGCCCACAGAGGAGAGCATAAGGAGGTGGCTCAGAATTTTTAGTGCTTGGTGAAGGCCTCTATTTTGCAGAAAACTCTCCTCTCATGTCTGTTTCTGCCACTTCTGTTGCCAGTAATTTTAGTACTGAAAATGTCCTACTGCATACCTGTGAAAGAAGGCATTTGAAATCCATGTTGGGTGGATATGACTTTTAAGAACACAGTAAACATGAGCTGTTTATGAGAGTTGCTCAAGATGTCCATAGAGCAAGCTTCAGAGGCAGATGAATTATCTTCTATTTCAGCAAGGTAGTACAACAACTGTACAGCAGCTGCCTGTACTTTGGGCACATTTTAACATTGCCCATGGAAATGGAGAAAAGTTGGAGGCCATTTTCTAAATAAACAGCCAGTAGACATGGAAGATGATGCTTAACATTAAACCCAAACCACATTGTTTATTTCCCAATTAGAAAACCTTGCCTATCTCAAAGTCATCCTCATATGCATGAACAAAAAATGCCAGAGCTGGGGAAAGCACAACCAGAAGCTATGGGGGAAATAAGAACTGTTGAAGTCCTAACTTGTACTTTGTGCCATTTCTGGAACAGAGTAAGATGCTGAAATAGTAACATTTTTTGTCACTCATTGTACCTGTTGAGCTCCTGAGTGTACACGTCATTAAAGCACAGTCACAAACCTCAGTGAGGAAAATGTACCTGCTAATAGCATGCTAGGCAATATGGACCATAAGACCAGTTGCCTTCCTTGAAAAGTTTATGATCCAGTTTTTTGTTTAAAATGCCCATCTGCTTACATATATACACAGTTACTTATGGAAGGAAATTACATGTTGTACAACCATGGAGAGATAAGATAATACCGATAACCTGAGCTAACTGTCCCTGCTGGCCTTAGACTTCCCAAGGTTAAAAACTCAGATACACCCCAGCCCCCAAATTTTCATCTAGATTTTTGCAGGGTTTCAACACCCAAAATATTTAGGTTTAAAGTCCAGTTTGTTAGAAGCCTTGCCTGCCAACATATGTAATTTTTAACATTTGGTCATTTGTCTACCTACACACTGCAGCTGTAGCTTGAGGGTTTCCCTCCCATTTAAAGAACACCATTAATCCTGGAAGTGTGAACTAATTACAACACTGAAAATTGGTACTTCACTTTTTTTCCTCTTCATCATGTCCCACCTGTGTTACTACTTCTATTCCAGCTATTTCTATGGCGTTTTTTTCCTCTTCTTGTATTAAAGTGATGTTTAACTACTTATTTCATTATCTGAACCACAAAGCATGAAAAATGAGAATTTTTTTTCAAGTTATTCTCATTTCAATGGCAACAGACCAAGGTCAAACTTCAGAGCTCTCAAAAGTCCTGCCAAAAATGAGATTCTGGTTACCAAAACAAGAGCTAAACGAAGCACTCCCTTTGAAGCAAAGTTGAAATGCTCACATGTGCTCAATTTTGTCAATAAGGAGCTGGTAGCTCCATGTTACGGTAATTCCCTTATATCCTTCCTAATTAACTGAAATTTATCAGTATACAAGAACTAAGGAACACCACAAGATTTGCAGTTCTATTATAAACATAAAGTAGTATCATTCACTATGCTGATTAATATACCTATTTTTCTAACAGATACAATCTTCTCAGAGTGTGAAAGACTTTTCTATAATGCTTTACAGATAGCTCACTGTGCTTTTCGTGAAAGGATACTTGATGCAGACATTATCTCTCACAGGCAAAGCTTAGCCTTTCTGTAGAAGATCATCACAGATGAGTCATCCACATTCCAGACACTTCAAGCCCTACTATGATCAGGAAGAAACATGCTGGGGAAAAGAAAGGGAAAAAACAAAGGCTGGCCTTCTGTGATATCTCAAACAAACCCATTTGTAGGTTGAGAGCAACTCATTTCTAAGAACAGTGTGTCAACGTGTTTACTTATTTGATCCAGTCAACTGGTTGAATGTTGGCTGTTTGTTCAAATGATAAGATTGTAGCACTGTTAGAGGCTGCATTTGGCTTTGCCTTTCCTTTGTTCTGTGTTAATAAGAGCTTCCACATCTCATTTTTAAAATATGGCTATTGTAGAACATCTCAACAGGAGCTGAAAGTGCTCATCTATTCTTAAAAAATCTGTTTTGCTTGGTCAAAAATCTTGGCACACTCCTGTCTCTCATGCTTGAGGACTTTGAAGCTGCTTGTTGCTGCCTTTCTCTTCCTCAGCACTACAGCTGCAGCAGGCAATCCCTCGGAAGGTTACTCTTAGACACGCATCATTTCAGGCTGTGGACACATCACTCTGGTATTGCTACTCACTCCCTTTCTCAAAGTATAATCCTAGTCACCATTAGAGGCAGCATACCAGGATAGAGAGACCTTAGGGCCATTCTTCTGGTTGGTCAACTGAAAACAAAAGATGAACACATGCTCTGCCATATCCTTCCCCAAAACCTTTGCTTATTACTACACCTGAGAAAATATCTAGACATGAATACAACACAGGTGATTTGAAGATGCAACTGAAGCAAACCTTGCAGGACCAACCATCATCCATCATTACCTAGAATTTCTAAGTGTTCAAACACTCAGACCAAGCTGACCTGAAATATTTATTAATTTTTGCACTTTTCTGTGGAAAAATTGGGGTATTACCACAAAGTACATGATCCTAAACTGGACAGACAACTGGTTCAAATTTAATATTCAGAATTTTTACTAGGAAGGCTGACCACAGGAATCTGAGCAAAAGCAAACATTTTACATGCTTTTGAAAAGCAGAGGAGTATTAAGATCTGACAATAGCACTCTAAATCTCCTGTATGCTCAAGACTACGGCTGCTACATAAAAATAGGATTTTGGAAAAAGGCAGCCATGTAGTACTGTCCCAGGAGGTTTGGGGAGGATCTCACTGGCCAAACTTTTTAGTTGCCAAGTTTTCACTCAACCGTTTTCAGGGAAAGGGGTTTATGTGACAGCATTCAAACATACAGGAGAAAAATCAGTAATAAATTATGCACGGGTCATCCAAAAGTTATTTTGTGTCAGGGACATGTCTTTTTTTTTTAAAGCTAATCTTGTGCCCAGAGTGGAAGCAATGTTATTTTAAAAATAATTTCATAACTCTGTGATATCTAGCCTCCTCTGCTAAAGCAACACTTAATAAGTACAGGAAAAGCAAAAAATGCTTTATGAAACATGCCCATAGATATGGTCACAGCCTAAAACCTTTAGCACTGAAAATACCTCTCTTCAAATTGTCTTTGCATTACTCACTGCAGTATCACTGTCAGATAGATATAAAGGCCAGGACTTTGCAAAATATCTGTAAAAAGTGGCATTCACCTGCATCTTGCCAACAATGTGGCATTTAATCTAAGGCAACCTTTCAAACTTGTTTTACAACACAGGGTGAAAATCTGGGAGGTGATTGATTGTCCCTCCTCTACTCTTGAGTGACCCCACCTGGAGTACTGCATCCAGCTCTGGGGTCCTCAGCACAAGGCAGATGTGGACCTATTAGAGCAAGTCCAAAGGAAGCCACAAAAAAGCTCAGAGAGCTGGAGCACCTCTCCTATGAAGACTAGATGAGAGAGTTGGGTTGTTCAGTCTGGAGAAGAGAAGGCTCCAAGGATACCTTATAGCACTTTCCAGTACCTGAAGGGGGCCTACAAGAAATATGGAGAGGGACTTTTAACAAGGGCAAGTAGCGATCAGACAAGGCGGAATGGCTTTAAGCTGTAGACCATAGGTTTAGAACAGATAATAGGAATAAATGTTTTACTGTGAGGGTGGTGAGACACTGGCATAGGTTGCCCAGAGAGGTAGGTCATGGAATTCCCATTTCTGGAAGTGTTCAAGGTCAGGTTGGATGGGGCTCTGATCAACCTGGTCTAGGGGCAGGTGTCCCTGCCCATGGCAGGGGAGCTGGAACTAGATGATCTTTAAAGTTTCTTCCAACTCAAACCATTCTATAATTCCATGAAAATATTTCTTGAAACACCTGGCTCCAGAGGGGTCTTTCAAAAAGGGTAGTATTTGCCATGCCTACAGCTTAGCAGCGAGTCTTTATTGAAAACTGAAATATGTCAAGGCAAAATTAAAAGCAGACATTTTATCTATCAAGTAGATGTCAGCACACTAAACTAACTGCACCATAGTGTTTGTGACATTCTCTCCAATCTTTTAGGCATTTTCTCAACAAACAAGAAAATATAAGCACCAAAATGAAAGAAAGATATGAACAAAGGATACCTATTCCTCCCCACTGAGCAACACAGAAAAAAACACCACAGCATATTACAGCTCACAATGCATGTTTATTATTAGAGATGTTTACAGAAAAGTCTGCGAATTACTGTTAGCCTAAGACTGACAATTGGGGTGGGGGATGATTGTTTATGGCTTTGTCTTTTGAATTATTTAAAAAGTCACAAAACCGATTTAAGGGGCTATTTCAGTCTTATTAAAAAAAGTTCAATTCACAGGTAAAGGAGAAGGTTCTTTCATGAGTAATTTAGTAACTACGACCAAATAGGGTGTAAAACTTGGCAGGGTTTTTGCCACACACACATCTTGTTCCACGCTGAAGTTCACGGAGAGGCTGGAAAGGTATGCAGAGGCTTTTTGCTCCCATGGATGGGGCACCAGGCTCAACATCTTGATCCCTGAAATAAAAGCATATTCATAAATAAATACTTTTATTAAAAAATAAAGGTGCAATAAAAGTGTATTATACATAAAATCTCAAACCCACACTAATTAAAGTTTCAGAACTAAGGGAGTAAATATATTGAATTATGCAGGACAGCAAGAGTCAAGGCTGAGGACTGTATGCAAATGTTATACCTAAAGGCATCTTGCATTCCTGTTTTATATTCAAAACATTTTGATTTTAATCTTGGTAGATACTCTCCAGTTCAGTTATATTTTACCTGGCAGTGGTCTTCTTGATCCAATCCTCACACTCAATTTCCCCACAAAAAGGGATTTGTACAATCTGAAGGGAGGAGAGGAGGGGAGAGAAAAAACCCAACAGTTACACATCTAAAAGAATCATCTTTGTCTCTGGAAGATTCCTAAACCTTCAGATCTCATATACACTCAAATTAGGAAAAGTTCCAATTGTTACAATTAAATTTTAATAACACTTTTTCATCAGAGAAATAGATAAGCAGTCATCCCTCCATAGTGCCACATAGAAAACCCTAAACCACCCAAAGCAGCATTTAAATTTAAATTGAATTTTTTTCAAACCAACACATCATCTTTCTGTAGAAAGTACACTGTTTTCTCCTGAAATGCTCTGGTTTTTCCTGAAAAGTTTAAGACTTTCTAAACCATAGAACAAATGCTCACTTGCACACTGCAGGACAGTGCTTTCCTAATGAAGTTTCCGTTTTAATTCTGTTACTATGAATTTTCATTTTTTCTGAACAAGACATATTTTAAGAAAAATATTTTACATATTTTAAGAAAACAATCACCAACAGCACATTTTTCTTGTGGGTGGGAGTGTGTGGTGTGCAGTTTCCTGCTATTTCCTTCAGTTAGCTTAACTGAAGAAAATTGAGAAAGAAAAGTTGAAATGATACGGTCATACACTCTTAACTATTGTAACAAATCTCTTTTCCCAAGTTCTATATTCAATGCAACTGACTTTTTTTTTCATTTTTAATGGACCTTCACAGAGAAAATTCAGTTTGCTACTAAAAAGTAGCATTACTGTTAAAATGATATCCCCTACACACACTTGAACACTCATGTAATGGTAATAGCTGAGGGCATCAACAACTACTAAATTCAGCCTTCACAGTCATTTTAATTCTATTCATCTATCCAGTCTGTGGCTCCATTCCCTACTGAAGACAATCTCTTATCTAAACTTCAATACTTTTTCACAGATGTCTAGATCAGTAGAGCTCAGTCATCCACACCATGCACTATTCTATGAACCCAATGGCTTCTACTCGGGTCATAAAGGTAAAACTACTTTGACGTAAATAGTTTGTACTTTAAACTCTTACATGGACCCTATTATGAGGCTTAACAAGTGTTTTGTCACTGTTTGCATTAGAATAATGACAGTAAGGTTATTGTAACCTGAATAAAATGTTTACATTAATCTCTCTTTATAGCATACTATGATAAAAATATCACACTTTATATGCAAATTACCAAATTGCATCATTGTAAGTCACTTAATGGCACCCTGTCATCTCTGGCATAGAACTAAATGCTGAATGGTGGTAACATAAACACTATATTCAGTAAATACCATATTTTAGAAAGAGAAGAAAGCAGCCGTGTATCACAAATTTTGGGAAACCCGATTTATTTTTATGCGTCTTTACAGGAGAGGCTGCATCTGCTTGTGAAGGGAGAATTCCATAAAACCCACAAAGGTATTTATATACAAGCTTTGAAATTTCTAGCCCCTTCTTATTCATAAGGGACAGAAAGTGTGTTAAGGATAGAAGTAGTAAACTTCCTTACCTTTCCTGAATCAAGCTCCTTTTGAAAGTCCTCCATATTATTGGCCACCACCATATGACTTTTTAGGTCCTCGGACGCTCTAAGACAGGGGAAAAAATTTCATTCAGGTTTATGCACATAACCTCACTGGAAAGCGACCATACCCACCTTGCTACAACATCTTTTCAGGTAGTTGTAAAGACCAAAAAAAGTCCCCCCGGAGCCTCCAGGCTAAACACCTCCACCTCCCTCAGCTGCTTTCTCATAAGACTTATGCTCTACACCCTTCACTAGCTTTGTTGCCCTACTTTGGGCAACGTTAGGTCATTGGGACATTATTATCCCATGAACTATTTATGGTGCATTTGTTTATTAATACTTCATATGAGTTCACAACCTTTTATATTCTGCTTTACGAGCACAACAGGAAACGTCTATTAGTGTATGTGAAGAAGTTTCAGAGGTAGAAAACTAAATCTGACAAACAGAAAGATGGGCCTAACTTGTCTTTCTCCACAGATAAACCAATAACGTGAGAAACTCTTCTGACAGGTAAAGTGCATCTGTGATTGGCATAGCCATTTACTGTACCTCTCAATTTACCTGCTGTAAAGGTTAGCATGGATCTCCTCCAAAATCTGCTTCAGTTTATCTTCTGCTTCATGTTCAGCTAAGGTCAGTTTCTGTCCCGTGTCTCTTCTAACAGCTACAAACTGTTGGCTCTTCATGTCTCGTGGTCCCACTTCAACCCTGATTGGAACACCCTTCATTAAAAAACAAGTTAAAAGTTACAATGAAGAAGCAATTCTCAGAAGAGTTCATTTTCTATTTCTCTGGGTTTTTTTTGTTTGGTTAGTTGGTTTGGGTTTTTTGTTAAGTTTTTTTAAAACCCCAGTCTTAATATGGAATCACTTTACACATTTAAGTCTCTTTAAAAAAACCCCAGCATATATTGCACGGTTTTTGTACATATCTGTCTTTCCCATCCACACTCTCTTCACTTATGCATTATACCTTGCTTCACTAGCTTGGAGACTGTACCAGTGCAAACAGGCAAGCAATATCAAGGCACATCTGAAACTGCACTGAGACAATTATCCCAGATTTTAAAAGTCTGAACAATTAAGACTTCTATAGCAATTATAATGTTCTAGTTCATCCAATAATACATTTTAATTCTGTTTTCACAGAACACTTTGAACTGTATTAACAGCAAATAGAAAAAGTTCTGTTAAATACAGCTCTGATATCAAGATGAATTGCAAAGAATATTTGACTGCAAACAGGTAATTGCTTAAAAAGCTTTTAAGCTTCACAAACTTTGGTGGTAAGAACCATGTAATTTCTCATCTCCCATGTACCACCAGATAAAAAAAGCTTCCATTTTACTACTTGGTTAAGAGTCTACTGAGTCTCAGTTATTTTATCTACATCCTGCTAACATGTATCCCAAGCTGTACACATTCTTTCATAGGAAATGAAGAGAGTAAATGCAAATACATTTTGGTGGGTAGTTTTGAGGATTCCCCCCCACCAAGGGAAATTGAATCAGTAAGCTTATACGTTAAAACCATTCTACAGTGTTCAAGAGGTGAACAGGAGAATCAAAAGAAATGTATCAAAGCTTTCTATGCATTGTGTGCTCTGGAATCTCTTCGACTGCACAGCTTCCAAATGATTCCCTATACTTCCTTCCTGCTTATTTATGCTAAGAAGGTGAATAATATGGTAAAATCTATCTGAAGGGTGAAATTATTAACTCCTACTACAAAATGGCATGAAAAGCTCTTCAAAACCATGATTAACAAGCAATTTAAACTGAACATTCTAGTTCATGACACACAAACAGCTGTCTCCATAATTAAAACTCAGAGGAAAGTATCTACTACTTTTAATCGTAATACTCCTTTCCAGGGAAAGGAGGATGCCTAACAGTCCCTCAGGAAGACTTCCTAAGAAAGCAACAGAACTAAGAGCAGACGTTATAAAAGTACCACCAATGACTTGGCTCTTTTAGGAGGTAACATCAGATATCTGCTAACATATTGAAACTAACTTTAAATTCAGAACCAAAATGTGATCCCATAACATCACTCAACACATCATTCAATTTCTAATTACCAACATTTCATTCTGCTCACTAATTTTGTTTTATGGGTTTTTTTTAAATGCCTCTTATGTTTGACAAAGCAGAACTGTTCCTCAACTACTATAGTAGGGGAACATAGTAGTTTGGAAAAAAAAAAATTGCTCCTTTCTTTGCTGGTCCTGTACAGGTTTATCCTCCCTGTTCCACTGTGTGCACAGAAGGCACTGTTGTGAGCCTGGAGACACTTAGGTATTAGTACAATTTTTTAAACATGCAAGTAACTTATGCTATTAATTTAATCTTCTAGGTGTATAAATTGAAGTCTTGGAAGTTAAAAAATCAGTACTGACATGTAAATCCCAAGCAAACAGAACAAGTCTCGGAAAACATCTTTATTTGTTAATGAAAGTGATCACTGATTATCAGGCAGCAATTCTTCATTTAGAGAAAATATTTGCCTTCAGAATACAAGGCATGCATAACATGCCTCATGCATACCCCCCACATACAGGCTTCAAAACACCTCCTGGAAAGAAATGTACCTTAAGTTCCCAGTGGTTGAACTTCCACCCGGGTGAATAGTTGTCTCGTAAATCAGCTCGGACACGGATGTTCGCACTAAGCAGCCTACTACGATAGTCATTACATTTCTTCAATAGAGCCTCTCTGTCCTCTTCAGAAAGGGAATTTGTGATACCACAGGGAATAATTACAACCTGCAATATAACATGGCATGTACTTTACCTTACAAGAAAAAATGAGCTACAGGTTATTAAAAAAATTGTGGTCCTAAACTGAAGTAATTTCTTTCAAGTTCTCAGAAGTAAAGGATGCATTTACCTTTTCATAGTAATGACACAGATAACACTGTTTTAAATGGATGGACTATCAAAGGGAACTTGTCCACCACAAGCACCCTAATGATTTGTATTAACTTTATACGGCACACTCTGTAATTAGCTAACACCCATCCCCTGTTCAGTCTTCCAGCTGTCCAATATGAAATGCTCATGAATTCCAAGACAACAAAGGAACAAAATGGTAGTTTAAGGCATTTTTACACACCTGAATAGAGGCTACACGAGGTGGGAGCACTAATCCCATGTTATCTCCATGAATCATTGTCATTACACCAATAGTTCGAGTTGTCAAGCCCCAGGAATTCTGATAAGCAAATTGTTTTTCTCCTGGTCTCTTGGGATCTTCAAATACAATTTCAAACATCTTTGAGAAATTCTGCCCAAGATGATGTGATGTTGCTCCCTGAAATAAGTGCACAAAGAAAATTCTACTCAACAGAAAGGTAACTCTATCAAACATCAGTTTCAATCATTCATCTTGCTGTATTACTGGAAAATGATTCTAATAGATAAATACCTGGATAGCTCTTCCACTGGCAGATATAAATGCCTCTAAAGTGGTTGTATAATCACCCCCAGCAAATTTCTCCTTCTCTGTCTTTCTTCCTTTCACAACTGGTATTGCTAGGAGATCTTCATACACTTGAGCATACAGATCAAGTATCTGCAAAACCTATGATGAACATACTGTTTTAAGACCTACTCAGTATTTTGCATTTCTTACATCATAAAATATTTCTGTATGACTGAGTCTGAAATATTAAAAATTCAACACTTTCTCAAGGTTGTGTTTAAAACCTACGATTTCTTCAATTACTTTAGACTTTGAGTCTACTATAAATTATGACAGAAAACAAGAAGAGTCACAGCAGAAATGCCAGTCCAACAGTTATATTGACTTCCAGTTCCATCTAGAAGTCTGAGCATCTGCTTAATAAATAAAGATATGCCATGACACTCAAGGAAAAGTCTGTCTTTTGGGCATATAAAGTGTTAAAACTTCTAGCAGTTAACATGTGAAAGCATTATTTTGATTTTTAAGGAAAGTTAAATTTAAGGAAAATAATTTTTAAGGAAAGGACTCTACATATCACACTCTTCAAACTCCCCATATTGTTTGTAGAGACTAAAGCCTCAGACATGGATTACATCTGAGAAGAAAATGGATTCTAGTACACTTGGCATTTTTCATGAGGGCTCCCAAAGAAAAGAAGAAAGATTTCTATGAGGTCCCAGTAAAAAGATTTGTTTGTGTTGCTATAGAGTAAGGTAAATTCCTAAAAGCAAAAGTGCCAGTGCATTTGCTTTTTACCTCCTGTGCTGCTTCTTCATACGTTGCAAATGCTGTATGCCCCTCTTGCCAAAGGAACTCACGAGTGCGAAGGAAAGGCTGGGGATGTTTGAACTCCCAGCGCTGAAGGGGCAGAAATAAATGAACTGAACACTATGATTAACACACCAAAGTGTCAAATTATTGTTTACAATTATGTTTATAAGTATTAGAAAATTCTCAAATGCTAAAAAGTCCACTATTCACAGATTTCTACTTAATATAATCAGCATTATCCATTGATAAAGAATGCTTTATCAAAAACAGTGAGAAAAACAAATCATATAAACCACATTAATAGTTTTGTCATGAAATATGTGCTAAGTATCATCATGCCAAGTCCACATTGTATAATTGTCCTAGACCGTGCTTATTATAACTACTATGCAATTATGTACAGACATACCACAACACTGCACCACTGATTAAGCTTGATAGGAAGATCCCTGTGTGACTGCACCCACTTTGCATAGGAAGGATACATGACTGTAAAAAGAAAGCAACTTTGGGTCTATGCACAATACAGATATTTCATTGTCAAACCTTTCCTTTTGCTACATATAAGCTTAACATGCTCTGCTGTGACAACTATGCCTTTATGTTTAATTCTCTTTAAAACACATTTTTTTACTTAATACATTATATTTTCACAGGAGGATTTTCACTTCCTCCCAAGTCTCTGCAAAGTAGCTTGCTTGCTGCTGGTCAAAGTACAATTCAAAGCTTATTATTTAATGACAGTATGTTTGAGTCAGTGGCTTACAGTATGTCAATACATCTGGGTTCACAAACAGGAATTCACTGACCTCACGATTTCCGGATGCTATACTAGACCTGACTCAAATAAAAACTTAGCCAGCCTCAGGTCTTAAAATACTTGTTTAAATTACTCAGAGAAAATTTTAGTAAAAGCTCATTTCACATCTATAGTCAAAGTACATGCAAAACTGAAGGGAATTATAAAACCACTATAAAACAAATAACCAAATCTACTTTTCAGAGATAGCAAAACAGTTTTCAAGATATTAATGAAAGAGATTCCTGAAGTGTGCACTTTCTAAAAAAGTCTATTTAAGGGAACATATAGTGTTGTGAGATTGGCTATAAGCAGCAGCAAAAAGAGGAAATTTTGATAAGGAGTTAAAGAAAACATCCTAAAAAATGTGAGTTTCCACTTTTCGAAAGGGACTCCTGTCTATCAGCTACACTGTATCTGTAACTGTTCTTCACAATCAAACTACATGGAAAAAGGTCTACCTGTTTCACTTGTGGGACGTATAGCAATTGGTTCAGCCAGTTCTGTTTTCCCGGATCTTGTGACCCAGGCAACCTAAAAGAAAGACAAAAGATCAAACAAAACAAGTTTAAAAAAACCCCAAACAAGCAACCAAAAAAAAAAAAAAAAAAAAAAAAAAAAAAAAAAAAAAAAAAAAAATCGAACTTTCTTTCATACTCAGCTGCAAACTAAGTGTTTGGGTTTTCTTGTAGTCAGATTAAACAAAGTTTTGATATGTACCTCAGGAGCAAAGTCAGCAATATGAGACTTTTCTGTCTCCAGGGCAGCCTGGGACACAAACATGGGGAAGTAACAGTTTTCCACTCCGAGTTTCTTGATCTCTGCATCGAAGAAGTCTTTGATAGCTTCCCAAATGGCATGAGCCCAAGGACGAAGAATGTAACAGCCACTCACATCGTAGTATTCAATCATCTCTGATTTTGTGATCACCTTTCAAAAGATTAAATACTGGAGTTTCAATTTATACACAAAGAACATTCAGTAATTCAAGTCCGTGACATGCAATTCAAGAAAAGTCTCCTGTTTTAAAGAATTTGTGCTCAAAAGGTTAGCAACTAAGATATACTTTAAGATCACTTGTGCTACCCAGAGAAAGTTAAGCAGGAACATTAAGTTTAATAATAGATCTGAATAACTTAACTAAAACTGAATTTAATGAATCCAAGAGACAGTAGTGGATTTCCAGTATCAACAGATACTAACTTTTAATAAAACCCCCAAAGTTGTGAAATTCCTATCATTTCACTGAAGTTTTGCACTCTTAATCAAAGTGGAATTCATGTATAAATAAAGAAAATCATATATGTATATTATATATATGGAGTCATTGACATTCATCCTTTTTACAGCTTCGTAAATTAATTCAGATCTTTAATCCAGGCACTTGTATTTAAGACCACAATAGCAATGTAAGATACAGAATCATGCAAATACCTTGCTCTGTACTTTAAAAAAAACCAAAATAGAAATATAAGATATAAATCCAAAACAGACCTTGATTTATAAGGTAATGAAATAATCAATTCAAACTGATGGACACTTACCTGAGAGAACCACTCTGAAAGATTTTCTTCTTTTTTAGCTTCCAGACCCAACCTGCAGTATTAGAAAAGAACCAGATTTGTGCTGTACAGCTTTTACCAGAGGAATTTATCCTAAACTTTTATTTTTATTTTTGGTGGGGGGTGCAGAAAAAGAGGGTATGGATCAGAACATTTTAACTTTACTTCAGAAAGCTAACTTTTGACTGGTAGGAATTTATAGTATTTCTTTACCTTGGCTAAAAGAATATTTGGTAGAAACATCTCAGTTTCTTTTGTACTGTTTGAACCCTTCTAATTCTCACCATGGTTGTATCAAAGAACCTCACAATGATGCATACAAAAACCCACTCACCTCCAGTAAGAACCTAAGATTAACCAGACCTCTGTGTAAGCTGTTTTACTCTTTATATTAAACACTTCCTACCTAGCCAGTGACTACAATTTCAGAAAGATATGCAACTTGAATTCACCATTCATGCAAATGTCAGTCACACTGTTCAAGACCAACCCTACCAGTAAAATAAAGATAACCAATAAAACTGCAAGACTCTAAAGAAGGTTAAACTCACCAGACTCAAATGACAGTAGACAAAAATCAAGTTTGTGTATCTCTACAAAAAAAGGTTTTATTGGTGGAAAATATATTTTTCTGGCATCATTCCTATACAAAATAACCACATGTCTGTCTCTAATATGTGATTTATATATGAAACAGGAAATAAATAGTGCTGCATAATACACGCTTAAGAAAGACTCCTAAACTTTCAGCGTGGAATCAGGAGAGGGGATGCACAGCAAAGTTCCACCACCACCAACAGCAGTGCCTTCCTCTGGATTGGGTATACTTTTCATGGTGCTCATAATAAATATTTTGGAAATCCTGGTACAATGAAATAAGCATAAGGGTTTGGGTTTTATTTCTCTACGGTTTATATTGAGCAAGACACAGCAGCACATCTGCAGAAGCAAATAATGAAGCATAGCAGGTTCTTAATGAGGTACAACTGACACTATATAAACTTTGGTAACTTGCTTTTGGCTTGATCATAAATATGAACACAGTTATTTTGCAAATATCCATACTTTCAAGTGAAATGAGACACCTATGAAACTCTAAATCTGAATAGAGGTAAAGAGTTAAGGTTTCTGTCCAATAAGAGTAAAGATTGTACCCCTACCTGGTTTGTTTCTTAGGGCCTTGACCCTCTCCTGATCCATCTGAGGAGCGCTCATTACCACTCTGTCCTTGCAAAGGTTCTTTTTTAGGGCCATCATTTTGCTTCTGTTGCTTACTCTGCTTTTCAGACTTGTTATCTTTTTCTTTCTTCTTCTTGTCTTTGTCATCTATGCCACTAGCAGAAACTGGTTTATAGTCAACTCCTGCAACAGACTTATACTGGGCCTTCAGTTGAAGAAGTTCCTTAACAGCTATATCTATCTTTTCCTTGAATAGCAAAAAGAAAAAGAAATATATAGAGAAATCACAGGCGTAATATGGGTCTATCAAAAAGGGAAAAAAAGAAAAAAGTATCTGTGCATGGCATTATGACCATTCACATAGTGTTGGGGGAAAAATATCTGCAAAAGCCAATATTTACCTTTAATGTGTTAAGGTTTTAAGGTTCAGGAATAATTTTATAAGTAGCTGTCAGATCTCAGAATTCAAATGCTGCCTATTCTAAATGTGCACAATCACAGTGAATTTCAAATAGATTTTAGATTTATATACATATATTACATTTTTGTATTACAGTATTATGTTTTTACCTTTTCTGCTTTTTCTGCTTTTAGCTTCCTAACTTCATCTCCTTGAAGAGCTACTTTGCTATACAGGGCTTTAGCTTCAGGAGTGTCTGGACCACTGGGTACTGCGTTTGATGCCTGAGGCAAAGCACCTTGAGCTACTGGTGGATGTCCTGGCTTGTAGTCCTGCCCAGTCTTTTCCTTGTAGTCAGCTTTTAGAGCAAGAAGGAGTTTTACTGCTTCATCTACTTCATCCTATATGGAAGACAAATAGCAAGACATACTGGTGAGAATTAAAGACAGAACTGACAAGAAGCACTGGTTTCCAGGCTAAGAAGATAAAATTTCCATCTAGCAATAAATAGTGCTCCATAATTAGTGTAGGACTAAAGCAATAGCTCTTCCTTACGCAACAGGAGAGTGCTTGAGAGCTGTCACATTGTACCAGGAATGTTCCCCTAGCCCATCTGGCCAGTATAACCTGTTAATAATTGCAGTAGAATCTACACTAAAAAATACAGAAAAGAGCTTAAAAAAAAGCAAAAAACCTCAACCAACCCCCCAAAAAACAATGCAACATCAAAACTGATTCAGCAAGATAGAAATATAAGCAGAAAAAACCCAGCAGCTCCTGCAAACCTATACGTTTGTCTCGTGTTCTTTTCCACAGCTATCACTGAATTTGTCAAGTTTTGAAAAGTCTTGCTATTGCTGCAGTACACTAGATACTTTTATAGTCAGTTGTCCCAAATACAACAAGAGAAAGTATAATACATTAAAAATTTGTGCAAGGTTGACATCTGCTATGTTTGTGCCTATTCATCTAGATATGAGATGGTAAGTTTGACTTTCTACACCAGCTGAATTTAGAATTTGTATCTCAGAGTGAAGAAAGCATTCATCATCAGAGTAGTCTTGCATGGCATTATTAGACCATGGATAAAAGGGAGTTTGATCGTTTCTTGGTTAAAGATTTCCCCCCAGTGGCAATTACAGCTGTTTACTCTCCTATTACTGTTATACCTTGGAAGCTTTCTCTGCTTTGAGTCTGCGTACCACTTCCCCTTGTTCAGCTACACGATCATAAAGTGCTTTGCCATCCACTGAGCTACAGGTTGACAGGTTATTGCAGCATACAGAAGATGGAAGGGCAGTAGAAGATACACAAGGAGGAGCTGAAGGTGGATTTCCAGGCTTGTACTCTTGACCTGTCTTTTGTTTATATTCTGCTTTTAGACTGAGAAGAATTTTTACAGCCTCATCTATTTGTTCCTAGAGCAAGAAAGAAAAAACAGCAGTTGTAGATAAAGGTAGAAACAACAGAGATGTAAAACAATAGCTAAGATGACACAACCTTTACTAGAATGGCACTAACAGCTGTTGTGGTAAAACCTCTAGAGCTACCTTGTTAGTGTAAGTTGTCATCATTGAGTTCTATGGTAAAACTTTTTAGCCAGAATACCTAGGGCTTGCACATCAAAGGACTGAATCAGGCAGTATATATAAGTGCTGATTTCTATGCCATGAAAGCCTCCCATTTAGGTGGCCTAGTCCCCTCCACTTAGAGCAGTCTGTGAGTTGTACATTGGAGAATAGCAGCAAATACTCAGACTGAATAAAGCATGGTTATTCTATCATGATCAAATAACTCCCAGATTTACTACTGCCATTCTGGCTTTAAGTTACAGCCCTTTTTTTCAATTTACTGGGTATATTCTGCTTCACATATCTTGCATCACTAAAAAAGAACTTACTTATTCACCATGCACTATCACAGAACTCGTTAAGTCAGCCATACCATCAGCTTAAGAGAATTTGGGAAAGTACTTCATGGTACTTGCTTATATTTTGCTCAAGTTTCACAAAACCTGTAATTAGGTTTTAGTCTAAACTGAAGATATTGTTCCACTCAGAAATATCTACTGCTAGTACACCTTTGATGCTTTCTCCAATTTAAGTCTGCGGACCACTTCGCCTTGTTCAGCTACTCTGCTGTACAGAGACTTGCTGTCTACTGGACATGGGGATGGAAGAGTAGAAACAGGAGAAGACTGAGGAGAGACAAAGACCACAGGTGGGCTTCCAGGTTTGTACTCCTGGCCTGTCTGTTGTTTATATTCTGCCTTTAGAGATAAAAGTATTTCCACAGCAGCTCCTATCTCATCCTGAAAGAGAAAGGAAGGGGCAGAAAGAGGGAAGAAAAGAAGATATAGAGACATAAGATGTTCAAATGTACCATAAATACTTTCACAGAATGACCTGCAGTTTATGTGCACTTGTTCCATTTTATTAGCTATTTAGTAGAATTATTCAGGGAAATTTTCTCTACTGGTTTCCTATTTTATTTTCCCGTTAAGGGATACACAACCCTAACTGCCCTAGGTAAAATTATAATAATAAATTAGTTTATATTTTCCCACTTATTTAGATTTTATGATGCCACCAAGACACTACAATCAACATTATTTAACCACTAGGCAAAGTGTGTAATTTTCCATTTCTTCTTGTTCTGCATTAAAAAGAATGGAAAGAACACAGCTAATAGTAGCTATGTTTTGTATAAACAGTTACAGAGAGGAAGATGTCTCAAAAATATCTGTAGGGTTTGGATCTTTCCTTTCTGATTTTGGGGCTTTGTTTTGTTTTTAAGGTATAAATAGCAACAAGTCAATCCTACAAAGTCACATAATTTGACCACATTGAGTTAAATAAATAAATGCTGCAGGGCCTTTTAACCCAAAGGACCAGATCTGAATACTTATCAACTCATGCTGTGGGGTGAATCCTGTCCACATTTCAGAGCAGCAGACTAAGAAATAAGGGAATTCACTTGCATCTTTATGAATATTAACACAAACTTTGTCATACAAATCTAGCAAAAGAAGTAAGTATTGGAAAACAGAACAGAGCCCAGTCTGAATGATGATCATAATGAAAACACGGATCCACAAGCACCTATTCACCTCCACAGACAGAGGACAATGGGCTATGCAAACCCAAACAAAAGAAATATAGTCTAATTAGTCACCTTAGATGCTTTCTCAGCTTTCAGTTTCCGGACCACTTCTCCTTGCTCTGCTACTTTGTCATACAGAGCTTTACTGTCCAGGGTACCAGAAGTCTCAAGCTTTGATGACTGTGCTGTTACAGATACTGGAGGATTTCCAGGCTTATACTCCTGGCCTGTCTTCTCTTTGTATTCTGCTTTCAAGGCCAGCAATAATTTCACAGCTTTATCAATATCTTCCTTTGCTGCCTTCTTAGCTTTCAAGTCACGAACTACATCACCCTGTGCAGACACCCTCTTGTAAATGGCCAGGCAATCTTCAGATACAGTACAGCTTGGAGTAGAGGTGTGACCAACAAGTGGAGTAGATTTTCCTTTTATAGCTGAACCAGCCTTAAAAAAAACGAAAACCAAAAAAAGCCAAGTATTCAGCATGATAATCTGGTACAGGAATAGATGCACAGAAATACATTTTATGGCACCTTTCTAAACTGCAAGTTTACCTCTTTCTTTGCAGTTTCAGCTTTGGTCTTCTCTTTTGACCCAGATGTTGGCATTTCCTTAGTGTGTCCATCAGGGATGTAAATCAAAATGCATGGGGCATCTTTACAGCTGTAAGGACTATATAAAGATTTATAGAAAACACAACAATAAAGGAAATACAAGATACATACAAAATGTCTATTGAAACAAGTGTTCTAATCTTTCTAAAAGATGCTCTCACACAACTGCAAGTTTATCTTTGTATGCAACTGTAGTTACCCAAATTTACATAATTAGGGATCTGCACTGATTCCAGTGACATACAAGTTTATTTTATAATATTTATATGTTTATGCTGTAATAATTGCAGTGTGGATGTTTGATAGCTTGCTAAAGTGTTACAATTAAATAATATGTGCACACTCTAATTAGGAAATGCCTATTTTATTCTGTAGCATTGTTCCTTAATTTCTATACTTTGAATAACAGGGAAACAGTGATCTCTTTACTAAGTTCAAGTTAGCTGGAGTGCATCAAAAGTGCAATATACTTGGCTTAGACAGTTCAAAGGGGCAGAAATGTACAAGCTAGAAGCCATGCAGACCACAGAAATATTCCACAGAAAGGTCAGGGGAAAATACTTGCAGACAATGTGACTCTTGCCAATGTGTGTGTGAAAACATTAAAGCACAGCAAGCTAGAGCAAATTCTGTGTAGTGTGTTTAGGTCATTCTTAGGTAGGTTACCTCACTGGCTCATAGGGCTGATCACAAATAAAGAATCCTCTCCTCTGCAGTTGGATGATGTCTCCTTTTTTCAACTCCTTAAGGCAAGGATCACCTAACATCAATTCTTCTTGCTGTAAGTGTTAACAGAAATCAGTACATGTCTAACAGAGCACAAGAAATAGTAAGGAATACAATGGAGCTCTAGAATGATACTGGTGATTTTCTCATTTTGGAAGTGTTGAAATATTAGTTAGTTCCAGGGGCAACAGAACAAGTACTAGCAAGAAGATGCTGTATCAAGACAAATATTCAAACTATTGGTCCCAAATGTGTAAGAGCCAGGTAACACCTGAGAATAAACATGAGTCAAATTTTGATTCTGAAATTATGAGAGATTAAATGGAAACACGGAAACTAGATACACCAGCATGATTTACGTGTTTGACAAATGAAACACTTAAATCAAAAAAGAACAAATAGAAATACTGAATGTGGAAAATAAAAACCCTAAACAAAAATCCCCAAACACGAAGCTTTGTGGAGTAAAGGCAACAAAATGATAACTCACCTTGCTATTTTGGTTGATATATTGCTTGAAGTCTTCATCTTTACCCAGTACTGGCTTAGTGATCAGATGCTCATAATTAACACAGACGGTTGGGATGAGAGGTGCACGTGGAGTTTCTGCTAACCAAGTGATTTTAGTTGTTTTTTTGAAGTCCTTATTATCTAAATTCAACTTAGCATCGATGGACACAATTTTTCCACTTGAATTTCTACAGGAAAACAGAAATAGTAAGAGGAAAGCCTAAATGTGATCAGTTCTGATTCAATACAACAGATCATCTACAGATTCACTGAAAAGAAAGTGTTCAGAGTTCAGTTTTGAAGTGAGATGTAGAAAATCAAAGACTATATTCACTAGAAAATGAAACAGTGTATTTACTCCTGTTGAAGACTCATTTGATTTTGTTTTCTTAAATATCAAGGTACAGTAAAAAACATGGGGAAAAAAATGTCTACATATTTATTCCAGCTCACCCCATTCTGCCACTGTCTCAACATAGCTATTGCAAAGATACTGTGATGACACTAATAGTCTCCTTCACCACCTCAATAGTTCCACAACTGAAACTCTGACAGGTTTAGTTTCTTAGTATGCAAAAGTAGTATTTATTACAGGGTGAAAGTTACTAAAATTCCAGGCAGGTTTTTTTCTGTTTGAAAAAGCTGTTTCACAGTGGAAACAGATTACTGCAGAAACATGGATGAGAGGGACGCGCAGGATCAGGACTGACTAGCGAATTCAGACCTGAATCTGAAAATTTGTTTTGTGTCTGTTTCAATCTGAAATTGAAGTTTTGTGTCATATTTCAAAGTAAATATCTGTGTACAGAATCACAGGATGGACATATATGGCCAACCATTAATATTTTACTGTTACAAGTTTCCTCTTAAAACAAAAGCACCAATAAGCTGAAAAGCAAAATTGAATTTCATCTCCCAGTGAACCAGTTACCTGTTTAATTTGGTGATGATAATATTGCCCCAATTTATGAATGTAACCACCTCTCCCTCTGTCAAGGTCTCTGCATCTGCACCCTCGATCAGGACTCTGGAGCTGTACCACACAGGTTTCAACCCAACATCGGCATTCTGTGAATAATGAGTTCAATTCCAAAGGATAGATTGTTATTATAGAAGATAACTAAAGCTAATGCAGTGCTAAAACACTGCTTTATTTACAATACAAGACAGAAAGATAGAAGGTGGACAGTAACAGTAATGCAAAGCTCCAGTGTTCTTCTACAACTCCTCAGTTTCTTGTTCACAGGTGTTGCATGAGTTCCTCTGACCGTACACTTAAAACATCCTATCTTCTATCAAATACTAGCTCCAGCAGCACTGCTAGCATATGCCATTTCCTTAAGATCCACACATCTTTAAGATCTCACAGGTAAAACCAAAGTTTTTTTCAAGTTTCCATTTCGCTATGCAAATTCCCTTCAAAACTAATTTCACAAATCTCATTTTTGCTCTTTTATATAGTTAATATGGAAACATATATGGAGCTTCTTCCAGCTGCATAAATCTTTAAAGATAGAAACTGGAACTACCTCACTCATATCACTAAAAAGATTCAGCTTTAAAACATCTCAGTAATCAAGATAAACTATTTTCTTTTTTAAAAAGCAGACAGCTGGGAGTTCAGACTTTTTCAGCTGGTCAGGGGTTTGCAATTTGTTTCTTCTGGTCAGTATTTATTTAATTATATACTGGAGAGAGGATTTATTACTGATATCCAAGTTTCAACGTGCTGGTTTGCATCACACCAAATTTCAGACTTGTTGACCTTTGAAGACTCACAATTCTCCTTACTTTTGCTCAAAACCCATTCCCTTGTTATCAGCCATGGGGAAGAGAGCAAACTAGATGCCCACCTCGCAGTTACAAAAAATGTCTACAGGAACACTCAAGAGCAAGAAAATCAAAACAAAGAAATGAATCAAAGCCTCAGCAATATTCACTTGTTTCTTAGTCTAAGTGCATATGTCTAAGAGATGCTTTCAGTGAAGCTTATGCACAATTTGAGATGCTACACTCAAAAAAAAGCATTTTTTGTTAATTGAAGTGACAAAAAAAATTGTATCAGTAACACATTCCCCTTTCTTAAGAGGTATTACACTGTTTACTGCATACTAAGATTAGCAAATTAGCAAGGTCGTACCTTTTGGTAATAAGTATTTCCTATACAAATTTAAAAGTCATATTAAAATAATCCAGAGATTAATAGAATTAACAGGCTAATATACCACTTCTCTGCATAAGCCTAATTTTATAAACTGTTTAAAAACCATCTGTTGTGTCCCTTGCTGTTCTGGATAAACAGTGTCTACTGTTTTATACCCATAAAGCTTGAATAAAATTTTATATTTACACTTCTCTGTGAAAGTTAGTATCAAACAACAAAAAAAAAGTCTGTGCAGGATTCCGTACTTGCAATGCCTCAACTCTTCTAAAAACTCCCCAAGAGTTTTTAGTGTTCACTGCACCTTCTAAATGCACTCCACATATTTACAGAAGCAGTTCCCTGTGCTCTCTTCAATGAACAGACATGTTTAGTAGCTGCCCAGTTTCTGACAATTCTGAGAAAAAAAAAAGTACACCTTCGTTTTAGCTCTTGTTGTCTGAGCAAGTTAAAAGCAGGACTCTCCTTACTGACTGCTCCAAGCCAAGGTACTTTCCAAACTTACTGATCTGCAATACAAGAATATTGAGAGAGTAAAGCAAGAACCTTTGGATGTTTAGCTGCTTCTTTCATCTCCTCTTGAGCTTCAGGAATATTTACTGGGACCACTGCATCTTTCAGTAAAGCAGTGTACCGAGGTGCTACTGGGTCTATAACCTACAGAAAACAAATGAGGTGGATCATGAGCATATGACATTGACAGAGAAATAAGATGCTGTACAAAACAATAACCACAAACAAAAAAGGAATATTAACTGGCATTCTTTATGTTACTGCATTTTTTAATGTTTGCTTTAACATTACTTTCATCGAAAGCTATACAAAAGCAAGAAAACAGTGCTAATAATTTATAATTTCCAATCTTTACTACAATATGCTGAGTAAAAAACTATGGATTGGGTACTATTGACCCCAGAAGTAATCAAAAGCATGACCCAGTGTACTTTGATATAGTTTTACTATGCACATTGGCTATTACATCTGGACCACTTTCTCTCTAGGTGACTGAATTTAAAGCAATAATTTATCCATGCAGTTTGTTCTTTTTCCAGCAGCATAAGACCTGATCCCATACTCATTTTCCAGGCTAGTATTCCAGCAGAATCAGGGACAGACCTGGCTATAGAGAAAGCACCAATTAAGTCTGCAATTTTAATACAGACACCTTAGATACTATAATAAGGCAACACCGTAACATTGACTTCATCGGGATTTCTACAATCCAAGTTTGACAAGAAAAAGGTAGCACTAAGATGTCTTTCTATATTTTTATTGCCCATTATCAAACTCAGCTGCTGTAGTTTTTCACAGCATTTTTACACCTGACATACTGGTTTGTCAAACTGTTCAAAAGCACTTAAGTACATAATTCAAGTCAAACAGCCATCTAAGGCCAAAAGGAATATCAAAGATCTAACAGTTTAACTGGAATTTAACATAAAGGAAAACACCTGCTTTTATTAATATAAAAGTGACTTTTGTTCTTAGTTTACTCCTGCTCAAATGAAAAAACTACACAGCAATTTTAGAAAAAAATATTATCAAATTACTTGACACGAGCAAGTAAGGTAATATGATGATGCACTTCTAAGAAGTCACTTCTAAGTTAGTAGTCACTGAAGTCGGACTCCTAAATGTTAGACATACACTTCAAAAAGGGACTTGTGTATGTATCTCAAAATATAGGTGCATTATGCATATCAATATCATAATTTTGGTAGCTAAATGACTGAATTTTACAGTGTTATTATCAGGCTCTTTATTGTACTCATTAAAACTCAATCCCTCCTCAGATGACAAATGTTTAAAAAAAAGTCAGTAGCATAATTACAGGATCACACATAAAATAAAGAGCTCTCACACTGATGAACACTTTGAGCTCAGAACTACCTGTAAACAATTGTTTTTGCTCATATTGCAGATTGCAAACTATCTGCACAGAAACATGTAAATAAAATTGGCCAGCAAATATGGTGCTGTCCAAGGAGCTGAGACAGATGTCTAAGAAACTTTAAAAGGCAATTAAAAAAAATATGAGCCCTGACAGTCCATTGTGGACTTTTTCCTCCCAAACCAGTTGTTAGTCGTAAATATATTTATGCAGCAACAGAAAGAACCAATTCATAAACCTATGTGTATATAGCACATCAAATGCAAAATACATAAAGAAATAAAAGACATGCCAGACAAGCAAAAACTATTTAAATGAACAGATCTGAGTACTCTCTAAGCAAAACCAAGCAGGAATCCCAATGCAAAATAACAGGTGTTTCCACAATCACACAAAATATGCAATCCGCATTAAAACAATTCGCCTTATTATAGTGTCCAAGCATCCGCTGCCAAAAAGCAACTAATTGTGTCAAGATGCAATATTCCTGATTTGACATTCAGTCAGAAACTTCAGCAGTGCTGGCTTTATCTCCATAGGCAGGATATGCAGCGTGTTAGTCCTTTTGCCACAGAAAGGAAACACGGCCAATGCAAGTCAAATCGAGTAAGATTTGTGTTTATGGTAACAAATAGGCCAAACCAGAAATGGGCAGCCTTTTAAAACTAGGAATAATGCATTTTCAGTGGGTTTGTAGAGCTCCTGTTATACAAGCAAATGTGTCTGTGCTATGAAGCTGCAAAATGATTAGCTTATGCTATGTAAGCTTACAGCACTGTAAGCTATATGCTAAGGTAAAAAGCATTAAGTAATACCTTCTTACAGATAGCTCGCAGCTTGAAAGCAGAAAAATGAAATGCAGTTTTCATATCAGACTTACAGCAAATACCATTATCTTTCCTCATACTACTAAGAAAGGCAAGTAAGTATTGGCATAGGAGAATCATTAGGATTAGTGCTTCTTCAGGTTTGGAAGGGGAGGACATTCCATTTTCCTGAAAGTGTGCCAAATGATGCAACATACTGCAACTGCTACTTGTTGTGATAAGCACTCCGATGAACACTGGTTTCTCTACATATCCCAGAAAGAGGATATCAGGAGTAGCATAGAATTCGAGTAAACACATACCTTTTTGTTAAAGGACCAAATTTTATCCCACTCCATATTCACAACAGATCGAGAGGAGCCCTGGAAAAAAACCCCAAACCAACCCATTAATATAAATACGCTAGCTCTTAGATTAATTTAAAATAAAGTCTTTTAAACTGCAAACCCTCTGTGGTTTGCTTTCATCAAAAGTTGTTTAGAAAGGCATCTTGAGCTTGCCAAATAAACACTTTTTAAAGTAAGAGACTTGTGAGCCCATTTTGCCAAGACCCGCAGTTAATTTTGGCCCAACCCACTGTTGAAGCAACACGCATGAAAGCAACAAACCTGCAAAAGAAGAAACCTCCCAGCAACAGGTCCTTTAACTGAAGCTTCATAAAAACTTGTCCTTACCAAGGGAGATTCAAAGAATCAGAAGAGAACACCCACCTGAGCAGCAATAAACTGTTTTAGCCCTTCAACTGTCATGCCTCTTCTTAGGACACCACGCACAGTGGGAAATCTTGGGTCATCCCTAATGGAAAAAGTTATTTCATTAGCTATGTTGTAAGTTCTACCTAATTACTTACACTGCTCAAAAACATTACTAATACTGCCGTACATCAAAGGGGAACCTTCAGTCTATTTTGCTTAATGAACTAAGAGATAGATGAGAAAACCTAACTGAGCTTTTATCCATACAAAGTGTATAGTGCAGACTTTCTCCTACTTCACCTCAGGAAGGGAAGTGATCTCTCAGTGAAGTGACTCTTTTTCTATATCTGTGCAATCTTAAGTCACTCAAAAACTGGCAAGGTAGAAGTACTGTCCCTATCCCATTCCTCTTTTCCAATAGCACCTGAATAACACAGAACCTGAAACAACAGGGATTGATTATTTCTTGCTCAACAGAAACCACAAACAGATGAGTGACAAGGACAATGTTATCTCTTGATAATGTGATAGAATTTTCTGATTTTTTTTCTTTTATGCAAGGAAATAAAAAGGCCTAATCTGAAATGTAACATGATTTGATGGGAAGAAAAATGCAACCTTGCTGAGGACCTAAGAGGAAGGCTTAGGGAAGGAGAGGTCATCATAAGATGAACTACACCTCTAGAAGAAAAAAAAAAAGGAAGGGGGAGGAGCAAGCTAGGAATTTAGCCTTCCAACACAACCAACAAATAAAACCAATCAAAAAAACTCCAAAAAACAAACAAACAAACAGAAAAAAAAGAAAAACCAAAACAAAAAAAAACCCCAACCAAAAAGCCCCCACAATTGGCACATGTAAGACAACCAGGCAGCCTAGGAACTTGCACAAAATGATGTTCTCATAGACTGAACACAGAATCACCTAAAACCAGGCCAGGAAAAGAACTACAAGCAGTTGTCTAACTTTAGCATTATCCATGGATTTCTTCAGACTCCTGTACTACAAGGAGGACTTCAGACTGTGCACTCCCAATCCCAGCCCATTGTGGGAATCAACAAAATATCTTCTCTAGAATCTGAACTACTTGTAGTGTAGTTCAGTGTAAATCCACAGCTCACCCTTTCTAGGTAAATACTTATGCTACCAGGCCACCAAGCACTTTCTGCATAAATCAAATTAACATGAGAAAATTAACAGAAAGAAGGAAGAGGATTGCAGGCAGGAGGGAACTAGGATGGATTTGACTAGATGGATAGGCCCAGAAGTTCTTCAATCCAGGCATTCTTCTGGCATTGCTTAGGAGCACATCTGATGACTCAAGAGTGGAAAATATGGCACCCATAGCAAGAACCAGAGTCCAAAAATAAACTACCTCACATTTGTTAGAGGATATGAATAGTTAAGTACAGTTATTGCAGAGTAGGAAACATATACATTGTACATGTAGAAGCCACTGTGATTAATCTATGTTCTTAAATATTGTTTACATAGACTTATGTTGTCCAAGAACAAAAACGTGCACGTCAGTCACAAGCATCTTAAAGACTGAACCAGAGCCATGTAACATACCATCCATCCACAAGCCCTTCGTTGACAAACCACGTAAGCTTTCTCTTAGAGAGCACAGTGTTGTTGAGGTTTAGCCTGCTATACTCCCATATATATGGTTTCCTTATGCCCAGTGCCTCGATGATCCAGTAGAACTGTTCATCTCTGTCATGGTATTCAGTTGTTCTCAATGCATGTGTGACACCTTCAATGCTATCAACTATAGGGCAGGCAAAGTCATACGTGGGATAAACCCTGAGGAAAAAGACCTTCAGTTAGCAGGGCAGAAGAACAAGACACTTTCCTCCCACATAAACAATTAAACTAACCATAATTTATTTTCATGTATTATAAATATTTATAATGTATGATCCTGAAAACTTTCAGATCAAGACTAAAATAAAACATACACAACTAATAGTCCACAAAAAGATCCAGAGGGTGATACATTTTTAAAACAAGGAAAGCCTTCAAGAAGTTACTTAATCACAGCCTTAATATTCAAGCCTAAAAAAAACCCCTACACTGCTACTGTTCTTTTTAAACACACAAAATTTTGACTTACAGGGTTTTTTTTCCCTTAAATATCCAAAAGAACCATTATTTGACTAAACAATGAGCAAAGTTTTCATGTTTAAAGACAAATACAGACATAGTTTTCAATGTTTCCAAAAATGGAGTTGTAAAGCTGGAAACAGAGGTTTCAGATAGGTGCTGAACCTAGCCTTGACCAATTGAGCCGGATAACTTCAATGCAATCAATTACAGTTCAATTACAATGTAGTAATTCTTCATTCTGCACAAAACCAGCCATTGTTGTGAAAGTAGAAGCAGCCACTCGGGTGAGTAGATCAGTGATATTGTGCAGCAATATAGAATCGTAGCAATGTAAAACTGCCATAATTCTGTTGAAGCTTTATGAGCTAGAGCAAACAGCTTTGCTGTCTGAGATACAGACATTAAATTTTAATTCATGTTTTGGCTCAAAGCTTTCCACTGACATACAGTGTATTTATGGACCGAAACTGCAATAATATTGACTGTTGGCCATAATGGCCAACTCACAAGTTTTAAAGTCATTTGCACAAGTTTCAGAAAGTCAAGAGACTCGTGGCACATTCTGATTGAAAAATGCTGGCAGGTTCCAAGTATTAAAAGAAGTTTACTAAGATGCCCTGAAAGGAGCAAAAGTTACAGAACATGCAAGGAGGAAGTGGACATACTTGTAGGTACTTCCAGTACGAGGGTGAGGCTGGTTTTTACAACGATAAAGAGTTGGATCCCTCATACATCCATTATTACTACTCATATCTATTTTTGCTCGTAGACAACAAGTTTGTCCGTATTCTGTTCCCTTTTTCATTTCTTCCCACATCTGTAGATTCTTATTAACACCTAAGAACAACAAAAATAAATCATTTTCTAAGGTATTATGAAGTTCATACAGAGCCATGTTTTATTACTGCAGCAACAAAAATCAATGTTACTCCCCTCCTTAGACACTGGAATTCATTTTCACACATTTCACATTTTGAATTTTTTAACTGGTAATGAATGGTGAATTCATACATACACAAGTTCAGTGCACCTGTCTAAATGTACACTTACTTCAGCCTTGCAGAACAAAGAACTGAACACTTCCAAGTTTCTATAAGGACCTTAAAGATATACAATTAATCTTCACATTCATATTTGTTAATAAATATTAAGTTTTGATGCCAAAGATAGGAAAGCAAGATTGAAGGTTAAAATATCTTACAGTTATTTCTGTGTTTAGATTCCACTCTTTGCTCACGCTCTGCTTTCATTTGTTCTGCAGGAGTATCATCCACATATGCCTTCCCCTCCTGAATAAGCTTCTCAGCATATTTCATTATTGTTTCAAAGTGATCTGAGGTATATGTAAATTGATCTGGTTTGATATGCAGCATTGCAACGTCTTCAAGAATAACCTGCAAAGTGTGAAATTGTATACTGTAACATTCAGGAAAGCTAGTTTTCTTAAATCTTTATCCTCTTCATACCAGATGAGGTGCTTTTAGCACTCCATTGCCCAGGAAGGATAAGCCATAAGAATAAGCATGAAAGAAAAGAGAGGCATACACTTAACCTTCACTCACAGCCTATATGAGATCACACTTAACTTCAAGGAGGTAGGATGAGAAAAGTAGATGAGAGCTGAAACAAAGTACTTATTACGGACTAAGGAGCGCTTATGAAATTAAAACAGTGTATTGCAAGAGTTGCCTATCTGCATACTGTAAAATAAACATTGGAGAACAGGAAGAAATCAGCTATCAGTAAAATGGCTTTAAGCTTTTTAAGCTAAAGTGGATGGAAATTTCACCCAAGCATAAGACTTAGGTGCAATAATGATACTGTAAAAACCTAGGGCAAAAAAAAAGTGTGCTAGAGGAGAGCTACACATCCTTTACCTATGAATTAGCTACACAGTGTATAGTTTTCTCTGTGCTTTTATCATACCTTTTCAAAGTCTTCTTTCTCTTTTTCTGGGTTTGTGTCATCAAATCTCATAATGAGTTTTCCTTTAAAGTTAACCTGGTAGTGCTGATTTAGCAGGGCAGCTTTGGCATGACCAATATGCAGATACCTAAAAAGGAAATACAAAAGTAAATATATACACTAGCACTACTTTAGCTAGACTTCTTTTTGTGAGGGAAGAAGAAAGAATGCAAAACAATACCTAAGTGTAACAAAAAAACCCCAACCTAGGATATTTCTTAAAATAACATACATTTATCAAAGTCAATTATGTTTCTTCTACCACAAATTTCGTAGATAACTGTTAAAAATATCTAAATCTGGAAATTAGAGTGTCACTGGGATATAAAGATTGGACTGGAATTCTCTCCAGTTTTACAGACTAACTTAAACCAACTGTTGATGCTACCCAGTAGCAGCTACCAGATTATCTGAACCTACCACATTCAGAAGAGTGGAATTTCCTGAAGTGATGGTTGATGTATATTTTTAACATAAGCTATAAAGCTACTCACTCTTAGGTGAGAACAATATATGTTACACACATACATGTAGATAATTAGCTATCATTATTATTGTCATTATTATTACAATCATATTAACTTACATTATTAGAGTAACAGTTTACACTGGGCTAATGGGGTAAGAAACAACTACAGAAGTCACATGATGTGCATCAGCCAGTTTAATTAAGAAATTCAATCATGGAAATTTTACAGCTCATTATACAATTCTAAAAAGAAACAGAAATTAAAAGCTGGCTGAAAATTGAATCTATTATATTGGCTCATCACATCTCCTCTGTGTGGTCTTTACAGAGTTTGTGCTCTGATACTTTATATAGTTTGGATCCCTGGGCCTCCAGTGCACATATGGTGTCAAGCTTCCCAAAGGAAGGCTATCCCACACATCTTTCCCTTCTCAAACCTAAGCTTCTTTGGAAAGCACTATAAGCCCTTTGACTCAACTCATAAAGACACTATTTACATATTGCAGCTCCTGGCAATGCACACACATCCATGTAAACGCCATCCTTCTGCTTCTCCACATCCCACTGCTGTGTGGCACCATGTCACCTGCTGGCAACTAACCTCCCTATTCCAAGTTCAGGCAACAGTACAACGAAGCACAGAAGTGAACATACAACTCTATTGTAGACAAAGCTTTAAGTAATCATTTGGCTCAATAGTCTTGTCTATAAGCTGATTAACATCCTCACCAAAGCACCTTTATGGCATTTTTAAAGACAAAACACAAATAGAACCTTCTTAGAGTATTTATGTTTCTTACCCACTTGCTTCAGGAGGAAACCTTACAATGACCTTTCCCATCTCTGCACCAGGAAGTTCAACAAATTTCCCAACATCCGCTTTCTTTTCCTTTTCTGTTGCCTTAAAAATTAACAGACACATAATTACAGATCACTGTACAATCAGATATAAAACTAGATAAATAGTTTGTGTACCAAAGACTCCTTTCAAACCAGACCTCAAAAAGTTGCCATATAAGGCTGCAAATTCATCTCTCCACAACTTTCACATTGCTTGTGGCACAGCAAAACCAGAGTAATTCCAGAGTTTTTTGAATCTAAAAATTTGACCTAGGACTGAAAAGTCCCACTAAGTTGTCTAATTTATTCCACAGAACAAAACAATTACTAGTCAAGTTTTTGTATCTTAGTGTTTTTAACCTGAATGTGATCAATAAGTTCAATCAACCAAAGAGTGCAATCTTTGAGACCCATCAGGATCTCAAAATCTCTTTAGAAAAAGCAAGCAATATATCCAAAGAGCAGTGCTGATTAAGAGGTGCAAGAATTACATGATTCCATTTAAGCACTGGACCACACCACTCATGCCTTTCTAAATTTGAAAGCAACAGCTTCAGCTGTAAACAAGAGTTTACAAAACTTTAGTTTACAACTAGTTGCTTTTAATTTTTAGTTCTCTAACTTATAAAATAAAATGCTCTTCACACAAATAAAGCCACTATCTTCAGAGGATCTGAGCAAGGCTTACCATTTTAACTTTGGGTGTACCAGCTGCCCACTTGGCTCCTATTGACTGAAAAGCATGCTGTACCTCAAGAAAGCCATACCATCGCTTCGCATGTACAGGAGCTTTGTTTTGCTGTAATTGCTCTTGCCAGATGTTATTATCTGTTAGAAAAAAAATAATTTTTCAAACTATTAAATTATAAAAATGGATTGACTATCAACAGTAATTTTTAAGACTAAAGAAAAGATAGTGTTTTTTTAAAATCTACTTTCTCTTTTCTGAAGAGATAGTCACAGGGACACAAGCCACATTGAAGCAAATCAAATAAACAAACTCCCTCCAAATCCAAAGCATACTGCATTTTTTCCTGGATTCATGAAGGCAGAAGGTGGGGAATGGTGAACGCACATTTTTCTATGTATCATCCACCTTAAAATTAGTAACAACTTTATTTCAAGAGAGAAATAATTGTGTCTACATTTGATGTTTTCTAAGCTTTACCCTAAGTAAAGAATGTATCAATCCTATCCTTTATTTTTTGAGGGGCTATATTTCATCAATCTAATTTTCAAGGAACTTAACTTCATTAGAAAGATTGTGATGGAGAAAGAAGAGGAAAAAAAAAGCACACTCCTTTCAGATTTCTCTCAAGAGCACCAACTTTGAACAAATACTAAAAGCTGCTCGCTTTCAATCTTGATTATGCGTTTTACTTTCAAGAGGAATTTGGTTATACTGAATGGTAGATTACCACATATCTACTTTAGAAACGGAGCTAAGGGAATACAGAAACCAAACCCATAAAAAGAGATCATCAAAGCTTCTTTAAACCTCCAAAGGATATTTCACAGAGGAACATATAACTCTTTCATTAATTCAAACTAAACACTGTAGAAATTTCCTCTACTAAGATAATGACAGGGAAAAGTCTATGTATATAATTTTACACAGCACATTTTCATATTTATGCAACAGGTAATAAAAAGATGCGCTTGCAGTGAACACAAAAGAAGTTAAAATGTCCCATATAGAGATTACATATAACAATTTTTTTACATTCTAGGGTTTCCTAAGCTATACTATTGCCATCACTAGTGATGCACAGGTCAAAGCAGTATGCATAATAGCATAAAGTCTGCCATACAACTAAGAGTCATCAAATGGAGATTTGGAGATTCCTGTTATACACTGACTGCAAGCCAATGAAATAGCAAACATATACTGATACCTTTTATTACAGCCCAAACACACAAATCTGCAAGACTCAGAGAGTTTCCAACCAAGTATGTTCTTAGAGACAGACAGTGGTTGAGTTCTTGGACTGCTGAAAGAAATTGGCTGGCAGTAGATAACTTCGTAGCGCTGAACTCCAGCCAGTGGTCAATCTAGTTTTAAAGGACAAAAGATGGTTAGTTACTCAAGAAATAATAATTAAGTTTGTTAAATAACTGAAATAATATACAATCCATTTAATAGCTGAACAAGAAATATTAACAGGAACATTAGCATTAAATATATTGGATAATACATCATAATATATATGTTTCAAGAATGTTTAAAATAAATTATACTGAAAAATTCACCCAGAACTATGACAAATGATGAAATTTAATTTCTTCCTTCAGCTTGAATTCAAACTCCCAAAAATACCAACTTCACTGAAGCTATTTCCATTGCTAAAATAACCAATAGTTCTTAGGTACTTATTTTTCACACTTATTTGTGACCTATTTGATCTTCCTGGTACTGCTGCTGGTTAAGTACATCATTTTTCGCCCGGTTCCTATCTTCTTTTCCTCATCTCCTTTTAGATTTGAAGTAATTAAATCCCTCCTCCTGTCATGTCCCATACCCCTCTCCTGCAAAACAGTCTTCTCCGTATCTTGGTACATAAACAAAAGCTTCAAAGTATTAATAGGCACTTGGTTAATAATGCTACCCTGCTTATAAAGTGAATCTCTCAACCCTGTAAGAGCTAAAGTGTTTCTTCTAGTTCTTTGATCCTATTTCATGTCTAAGTGTTCTATAAACTGCATCGGGAATCCTTCCAATACTTGAGCCAACGTGGCAAGCACAGATGTAATTACAACCAGCACAGAATTCAGTTCAGTCTTTTGCAGTTATGCTCCAAAATATGTGCACCACAAATGCAGCTGTCACTGTATTTCTTGAAGTACAATTTTACTTTTGAAAGATGAAGAAGTGAAAAGAAGTATTTTACCAGAAATACCAGTCTTGAAAGCATGTTTGCAGAGGTCTGGGCTTAACGTAAAAACAAGAGGTTTGGATAGAAAGTTTAAATAGCCACAAGGTAACCTTCAACTTTTAAAATGCCTTACAAGCAAAACAGTAAGACAACACTTCCCTCAAGACCAGCTATAAAGGCTGAAGAACGATTACCACCAGCTTCAAGTAGTTGTAGAAAAGACCTGAATCAAGTCCTTCAGTCCCTCCACAGATTTCAGAAGAAATAAATTTCAATTCATCTGTCAATTTCAGTTACCAACTTAAAATTCAGCATATAATTGATTATTCTGAGCTAGACTTAAGAAAAATTCCCTCCATTTCATGTCATATCATACCCACAGTTCCTAATAACTTTTAGTAATCTGTGTAAGCAAGGGAGACCAAAGTTCTCTCTTTGACACAAAAAGGAAGGAACAGTCCATCTACGTGGCGATGTCTTGACACATTTCAACAAGTGAAACTGGTGTCAGGGTTTTGTACATCATATACAGCAAAACCTACTTCAGGATTTCAATGTCACACAGTGTTCCTTGGTGTTACACTACAGTGTTACTAAGTAGTAACTGATGGCAACAAAGCAGAGGGACATAAGGTGTGAAAAACACATTGTATCACCTTCCATCCTGAATTACCTTCAGTTAGTGAACTGCTAGTTTTCAGACTTGCTGTCGCAGGGGTGGGCAAACCATTCTAAGGTCAGATTTTTTGCTCTTTAGAATAAGGAGCAAGCTTAGCAAAACAAAACCCTCAGCATCCCACATAGCTGAAACTTCAGTCTGACAGTAAAATACAGAACAACAAACACAAGTTCAAAAAAACCAAACCCAAAAACAAGTCCCCACAAACTGAATGCAGGCAAAAAGGAAAGGAAAACAAAGGTAGAAAGGCATGACTCCTCACCTCAGTGTGTTCCAACAGATTTGAACCATACAACCCAGCAGATGCAGCAGCTCTAGCCAGATACCGAGCTATTGAATTCACATCAGTAAACGAAACATGGCTAAACAAAGAGGCAAGAAAAAGGCATATTAAATTACTATCTCCAGTTCAACTTTAATTATATGCACATAGTTGAAACATGTTAAAGGAAACACAAAATAACTTCTGGCTAAGCCAACAGGTACCAGGTCACCAGCCTAAAAAAACCCCTATAAATAAACCTAGCAAAAGAATAAATGAGTCTTGATTTTCTATCACCAGATGGAACAATAAGATTCTACACGTGAAAGAATTTTGTTTGGATAGACAGAAATTAAGAAAATAAAATACATTATTCTTTCAAATAATAAAACTCTCTCTCCACATTCTGACAGAGTGCACAAGCATAACCCAAGCTACATATTTTCCAGAATATAAGTAGCTAATCAGGATTTGTTTTCTTTTCATAAAAGAAGGATGACTTTGAAGAGGATTCCTTAAGAATCAACAGAATAATTGAGAAGTCTTCGCCATGGTTATAAGGGCTAGCGTCAGGGGAAAAAAACCTGTTCATTTGTTACTCACTTTCCTCAATTCACTCTTCACAGAGACCATCCCCTGATGAATAAACTTGCCTGCCTGTATTTCTGGTTTTTACCCAGTCTTCTCCAGATATAAGACTAATTTGAATTTCTTTTACCTATTCTACTTATGAAAAGTCTCAATAGATCTGGAGAAGAAAGGCTCTGCAAAGAGCATAATTCTTCCTGTCTTTTCATCTCCCTTTTTCTACGTTACGTACAATAAGCTGCACACTGTCAGGAGTCTAGCTTCAAATTTACCTAAGATAAATCAATATTTACTAAAGAGCTTTAGAAAAAAGATGCATCACAAGCATCAATTCTCCAGATAATACTCATCTCTACAGTCCCATGTACGTGTAGATTGCAAAATCAGAGCTCCAATTGCTCCTAAACAAGCAATGACATCAACAAAAGGAGTTTCTTTATGTGTTCTTCTGAACATTTACTCAATTTAATGGACACTTTAACTTGTTCAACCAAGGTTTCAGTTCTGTTCTGGCAATTGTTCTCTATTTCTTTTTATACCTATTGTGTCTTTCATAAAAATAAAAGAATTTCTGATAGCCCTCAAGCCTTGCAAAAATCAATGAAAGATCTGATAATTATACAGAAGACTTCTTGATATCTTAACAAGTACAATGAGGCCCATTTTTAGGACAAATGGATCAGCCAGTATCATTAGGTCAACTGAACTAAAACCTAAGGAATGCAGTTCATTGTGGAGTGTGGGTTTTGTTTTTGTTTTGGAATTGTTTCTTTTTCTTCTTCTTCTAGCTTTTCAAGTATCTAGCACTCAGTATAGAGAAGATCCCTAAAATATAACTAAAACCAGAAGTCACAGGAGGGTGCTTAACTTACACAAAGTTTAACATAATTTCACACTGTTATCAGATTTTAATGAAGCTTTTTCAAACTTAGAAAAATGAAACATTTCCGATACGTTTGAACCTACAAAAAGTCTGTAAAATGTACTTTTTGATTGTTTTCACTAGTTCATACTAAAATATTCTTGATTACTCAAGCAAAACAGAATAAATGTATGAAATGGGACAATATTAGTCTGAGTAAAATCTGCTTTAAAATCTCTTTATTTTCTTCAGGTAAAAAATACTTCCACTCAAATAGCTAACTGGCCTCCTTTCTTTGGAAAAGTTGCAAAACATTAAGGCAGCTCTTTGCAATCTGGGAGCAGGAAAAAAAGCAAACAAACCACAAATAATTTCCAATTGTAATAAATAATTGCTGAATTAATTTGTAGAAAGCACTGCAGAATGGTTACATTCACCTGCATACGAGTAATACTACTCTGAAGTATGCATGTGCTTACAACACAAAACAGAAAGGTTGTACTGCAGTTTGTTATCTGAGAAGACACAGGTATACCAAAGCACTCCATAAAGCACTCAGGGTTTAGCAGAGTGGTTTGCTTAGGAGCTATTGCTACATGCAGTTTTGAAGCTAAGGCTTCAAAAATAACCTTTAAAATAAAATTAATCATCTCCAATTAGTGATAAACTTTTCAGCTATCTAGCTGACAGCTAAGTTTCATCTAGTCAGCTGAAAAGTTTGTCACCAGATTTTAACTGCACTTCAAAACTGAACCTAGAAGAATTGTGAATAAAATGTTCTTTCTTGCTCAAGTTGAGTCATTAAAACTAATGGATTCCTGAAAAAAAAAACCAAAACCAAAATCTGAAGCATCCCAAGTGATTTTTAAGTCATGCCAAAACAAGATAGCTTCAGCAAAACTGGTGCCATGAAATCCATTTACCAAAAGCATTGTTGACATATGAGTTCCGCTGATGCTTCTCAGGTTACAGATATAACAGACTTCAAATAGAGAATCAATTTTAAAAATGATTGTACAACCAAGCAGGAGAAAATGAATGCAATACTGAGGTTTGGAATAACTTCTTAAACATAATTCAGTGCCAGGGATGAGAGGACACTAACACACAAAAATTTCCATCTGATGGAACCATGATTCCAGATATTACCCACACAGGGCCAAAGTGCAAAAGAAGAGCATTTGCTTTACATTTCTGACAAGCTCCATTATGGCCAGAATGAGTGACTTTGCAATGCAGTAGGAAGACGGCAAGATAATACAAATTATTTAATAAAATATTACTTCAAAGCCAAGTATATAAATTTATAATATTCCAAGATCATCCCCATGTGTCACAGGAGGGTACTCTGTGCATCCATGTCTTTTGGTATATGCATCCATACACTGCCTAAACTGTCGAAGTGAAATGAAACCAAAACCTAAGACTACTTACGGGAAAAGCTCTCACATGCAACTAAAAAATATCCAATTAACTCTCTGTTACGTAAGCCGTATCCCACATGTGCATAACACACACTGACAATTATTAATGCTGTACCAATTAAGCCCAAATACAACCTGTCACATTTCTCTTCCTTTAATTCAAAATCACAAACTCCGTGCCATCCCTAGACACAGCAAAAGACTAGTAATCTCAGGTTACAGTAAGAACTCATATCTGAATTCAGGTCTAACATTTTTAACAGAAAACAGTATTTGAGACTCATGAAACAATCATGATTGATGACTGTGAATCATCCTGTGCTTTGATTTTTTTGCAGAACTCCATACATAATGACAAGCTCTT